TGTCGCCACGCCTCGAAAGCCTCCTTGATCGCCAACAGCTCTTTCTCGTATATGCTGTAGTTACGTTCAGCATTCGAGAGTGTCCGCGAATGGAACGAGCAAGGATGAAGGCGATCATCAGCACCCCGCTGGGAGAGCACGCATCCAAGCGCAAAGTCCGACGCATCTGACTCTACGACGAACGGCTTGGATGGGTCCGGATGCACCAGAACGGGCTCCGAAACGAAGGCATCCTTCAAGGATCTGAATGCTTTATCGGCTTCGCGGGACCACTGGAAGCCATGCGTCTTCCGGAAGAGCCGAGTCATGGGCCCCGCGATCTTTGCGTATCCATCGATGAAGCGTCGATAGAAGTTCGCAAACCCGACAAAGGATCGAAGATCCGAGATGTTGCGCGGTATGGGCCAATCCAAGATCGCAGAGAGCTTGGATCGCTCCATACCGATGCCCTCGGGCGAGACCATGAAACCAAGGAACGAGACCGAGGTTTTGGAGAACTCGCACTTCTCCAGCTTGCAATACAGCTTTGCAGCTCGGAGCTTCGAGAGGACCTGCTTGACGTGCTCTACATGCTGCGACGGATCAGCACTGTAGATCAAGATATCGTCAAGATACGCAATTGCGAACTGGTCCAACTCGGTGCGCAGGACGTCGTTGATGAAGTGCTGGAACGTCGCTGGCGCGTTGGTGAGCCCAAAGGGCATCACCAAGTACTCGAAGTGCCCATATCGAGTACGGAAAGCTGTCTTCCACTCGTCCCCGGAGCGGATGCGCAGCAGATTGTAGGCTCCACGAAGGTCCAGCTTAGTGAACACCTTCGCGCCTCGAAGTCGGTCCAGCAGCTCGCCGATCAGCGGTAAAGGGTAACGGTTCTTTACCGTGATACCGTTCAGTGCGCGGTAGTCAACGCAAAGACGAAGTGAGCCGTCCTTCTTCTTGACGAAGAGGATTGGTGAGCCTGCTGGGGACGACGAAGGACGAACGAATCCCTTGGCAAGATTCTCGTCGAGATAGTCACGCAGAGCGTGAAGTTCGGGCTCGGACAGTGAGTACAGAGGCCCGAACTTTGGCGACTTGCCCGGCTCCAAGTCAATGGGGCAGTCATAAGGGCGATGCGGAGGCAAGGAGTCAGCTTCCTGTTTAGAGAAAACAGACAGGAAGTCCTTGTACTCCGCAGGCACTTCGACAGTCGCAGTGCTCGGCTCGTCAGTGGGCAGGACATGGACCTGAAAGATGGTCAGGGGTTGCGTTCCATGCCTGCATGCATCCAAAGACTCGCGCATCGAGCGGTAATCAATGCTGCAGACGCGGAGAGGAGCGTCCGAGCTGAGAGGAGGGGCGTGGACAAGGTCAGAATAATGTTCGACGGTTACTTTATTCTGAACAATGTCCGAAGAACAAACAACAGGAGGAGGTACATCAAGGAGGGAAAGAGAACTGACAACAGAAGAAGGGGTTTGGGAAGAGCGAAGGGGTTCGGGAGGAACAAGACAAGAAGGGGAAGACGAAGGTGGGAGCGTAGGAGAGGAGCTTAGATCAATCAAAGGAGTGGAATCATCAAGAAGGGGAGTGACATTGGAGGAAGTGGAGCAAGACGAAAGAGAAGTAGTGCATGGAGAGGGGTCGGAATCAACAGAAGGAGGGAGACAAAGAAGACCGCGAGACCAGACAATCTTGGGCTCGGCGGTGCGCAACCAAGGAAAGCCAAGGATAAGTGGTTGATGTGGAGACCTGATCACATCGAACCGAAGGCGTTGCGAGACGTCCCCGAGAATCACCTCGAGTGGAGCAGTCTCGCGGAGGATGGGGCCAGACGACAGCGGCTTACCATCCACGCCTTCCACTGCCAAGGGCGAAGCCTTGGAGCAGGTGGGGACAGAGTGTCGAGCAACAAAGTCCTCGTCGATAAAGTTGCCAGAGGCACCAGAATCGACAAGTCCTTCGCACGACAGAGAATCACCAGAAGGAAGACGAACAGCGACGGGAACAACCAACGAGCAACGACGAACAGACGAAACACAAGACTTTGGTTCGGTACCAGCTTCGGCACCAGGGTTGCGGCTAGCACAGACAGTTAACTTTGCCGAGGGTTGGCAGGACAGCTCAGGTATTTGCACCTGTGGATGAGGTGCAGTTCCCAGTGACACCAGAGGTGCCACGGGTACTATGCCAGAGCTGAGAGTGTCCGCCGGTCCAGAGGCAAGGCGAAGCTGTCCGCACATCACTGCTTCCCCAGTACTTACCAAAGGCACCTTACCAATGTCTTCACTTTCGGAAGGCGGTGGGCACGGCTCCGGTTCAAGGCCTTCACTTAGAACCGGGCCTGGTCGTTTCCCGAACTGAAGTCTTGCACTTCTCCATCTTCGTAAACGATGGTGCGGATGATCCTCGGGCCGGGAGGTCCAGGGGGCGGTCCGGTAGCTCTGGTAGATCCAAACTTGACGGGGCAGTTTCGTACCAAGTGGCCCTTCTTGCCACAGTACAGGCAGAGTCCAAAGCGGCGGCGGCGTTGTTTCTCCTCGGCGGTCAGGGGTCCAGAGACGGCAGAGTCCACTTGCATGGGCTCGGAAACAATGTAGGAGGGGTGCGGCGGAGCGAGGACGGGCGCGGGAGCGATGGCGGGAACGGCAGCGGAGGCGGAACCAAAGGCGAACTGGGAAGACCGGTAGCGGGCAGGCGTGCTTCGGCGCTCTTGACGGCGCTCGCGGATTCGTGCATCGAGCTCGTTACAAAGCTCGATGTACTCCTCCAGATCTCGTGGCAGAGGGCGAACTCGCGAAAGTTCGTCTCTGACATCATCCGACAAGCCAAGTCGGAAGAACGAGATCTTTGCACCGTCGTTCCAAGTCGTATCGGCGGCAATACGAAGGAACTCGGATGCATAGACTGCGCACGGGCGGTTGCCCTGAGACAGTGTGGTGATCACTGACTCGGCAGTCCTGGCCCGATCAGGGTCGTCAAACACTTTGGAAAAGCGTTCTAGGAAATCGCCAAAAGAGTTGAGTCGGGGATCACCCATCTCAAGCATCGGAGTCGCCCACTGGAGAGCCGGTCCAGTGAGCAGACTAATGACGAATCCGACCTTAATCGGGTCAGCAGGGAACCGGTGGGGCTGCATTCGTATATACAGTTTGCACTGATTTACGAATGCCCGGAACCCTTGCCGGTTACCGTCGTAACGGTCCGGCATCTGCACGCTGTACCCAGCGGCAGGAGCATCGCGAGCTGTCCGGAGCTCGGCGAGCTCGGCCTCCAAGGCACGGAGGCGGTCCACGAGGGCAGGATCCATGGCGGGACTGGGACTGGGACTGGGAAAAAAAAAAAAGCGAGGAGGTTCAAGAACAGGAGAGCGAAGAGGGCTCAGACACAAGTGTGCTTGAGGTTCGGACAGGACTAGGAAAGGGGCGGGGCTAGGAGCGGAAGATACCAAGCAGGTGGTATCAGTAGAAGAGAGTTCGAACAAAGTGTAAGGAGTGAACAAGCGCAAGGACGAAGACCAAGTGCTTGGTATGAGCTTTATTAGCTTTTAGCCCCGAACACCAAAGAACAAGTTTTGTTCGAACTGGTGTTCAACATAGGCTCAGACATGCAGGGCTATTTATAGACCGGGAGAAGGTCGAGGGGCAAAAGTGGGCGAGAAGGGTGGAGCATCACAGAGAAGCGAGAAGGGGGTGCGAGAGTGGCTGGTGTGCAAGCGAGAGAGGCTTGGCACAGCCCGGGGACATGTGCCGAGCGGTGGGGGAGGCAGGAAACCAGTAGACGCGGGTGGCAACGGCGCGTGCTCATGCATGGGGGCAAACAAACACGTGGGGACTCATGATTGGTGCGGAGGGCGAGAGCATGCGGGACAATCTCATTGGTCCGTTGTGATGCTGGTCATCACAGTTTATGGACTTGCTCAAGCGCTCCATCATGGTCAAGAGCAATGGTGCTGTTCTTTGGTCTCACTATGAGAGGCTCATTCGCGAGCGCTACACACAGTGAATGGAGTACGCACCCCTTCTTCAGATGTAGGCACCATCGAGCCATGGTTTTGTGTGGTGTGGTCGATTTGTTTGTATTTTGATGCATAGCTGTACTCCCCGCTACACGATGGTGGTGTGGGAGATGTCGGACATCAAATACACAGCCCACTCCATGGCTAATGCAGAATTCTGTCGTCCTGATGCACGCCCACTCGAGAGCTGATGCACGGGTGATCCACACTAATACACACGACCCGAAACGTCTCCATGGTTCATGGAGTGGCTGTGCTCGCTCTGAAACCCGTCTCACTCCATGGGTCCTGGATGAGCTGGCTGAAACCCCCGGCCAAGAAAGAGATTGAAATTTTTTGAATTTTCTGTATTTTTGGGTAGCTGGCAACGACGACAAGACCCTCACTCCACAAAATCCATTTCTAATACACAGCACCGATACAACTACACCCTCACTCGATAACATCACTCCTTGAGATCCAAGGAAGGTACAAATACCACTCACTCCATGCAGAATTCTAATGCACAACCCCGACACACCCTCTCCATGAATCCGGAAATCTAATGCACAAGAGCGTACAACTCACGGATTGTGGAGGGAGAATGGACATACCCGAGCATCTCCGGATCAATATCCTACTATGGAGCGCGGGTGGAGGTTGGGATCAGGGCAGAGATGGAAATCACTGGTATGGCATCCACCCCATTCGCCGCAGTGCCGGGCATGATTGGCGGGACCAGTGGCGGGAAGAGCACACCCTACAGGAGTGATTCGTGTTGGTGGGTGTTGGCGGGTTGGAATTTGGCGCGTCGATTTTGGCGGGATTCCTGGCCCATAAATTCGGCTCGTTCTGAGGGTGCTGATTGCTCCCCAGGCAGTTGGGCAGCAGCAAATCTCAAGACCGTAACGTAAGTGTATTTCCTTCCGTGATGATACTCCATGCATGTCCGTGTGTCATGCTGTGCGATGGCTAACATGACTCGGCATCTCCAGTCTGCACGTTCCATTCGCAGAAACCAAAAATGACAATCACAATCATGCTCCTCCTGGCCTTCGTCCTCTGGCCCATTGCCCACTGCCTACTCCATACTGCCTCTTCTACGGCCTATACTATCATTACCTACATTGCCTATATTACCTATATTGCCTGCTATCATCCGGCACAAACCATCCTATCCATCGCATTCCGCGATTACTACGCGTCGCACGTCACTATCGACGCCTCAAGACATTCCTGCCCATCCATGGCACATCCGAGACCATTCCTGTCTCTATCGATCCACTCGAGCATCGCTCGCGACACCAAGACCACCAAGCCCGATACTCTCCCGACTCAAATGGGAACCACTCCTGGAACATGACTCTGTTGATTTGTTTTGATAAGCCCTCTGCCGCCGCCCATCACCAACTGGCACTCCAGTTGAGACCTCCAGCTCTGTCTGGAACCACCGTGGCTCCGGCCACATGCGAGACTGGTTCATTGGTCTTCGCTTCAACGACCATTACGGTCGGGTTTGAACGAAAATATGGCGGCGGCAGAGGCGGACCTATGCCCAAATTCACACGGCATACGGACACTGTATTCGATATTCGCATGCAATACATTCCAATTGCACTTGCGTTCTTCCCACACTACTTGCGGAACCACTTGAACAGTCCCTTCCGTTTGGCTTTTTCTTTCGCGATTCGGGCTTGCTCCTCGGCGAGTCGTGCTTCTTCTGCAATTCGGGCTCGCTCTTCAGCCAATTTGGCTTGCTCTTCGTGGAAGGCGATCACTTCGGGACTCGAAAGGATGTTTGCACCACGGGCTTGACGCTCGGGATCAGGTGAGTTGCTGAGATAGTTTCCAACCTCGGCTCGGATCTCTGGGGTGTTGAGGTAGATTGGCTGTGGTGGTAGGAGGGTTAGTTGAGGGACTGGAGGAGTGATGACAAGTGGCTGGACTTACCAGGATGATGACTGGGCGGTGGGGTGTTTCACGGGTCAAAATAGCAGCCCCGCCGGATGGGAGAGTGAACTTCCGATTGCCAAAGAGGGAGTGTGGGACCTTGGTGATGTGGATGCCATGGCAGATCCATTGGGGAGCGTTGTCGATTTGGGTCCACTGGGACGATGCATGTGGGTTGGATGCGGTGGTAAAGCTGGAGGGATACTCGTCGGAGCGAACCCACTCGTCACCGCGACGGACCCAGAGGATTTGGTTGTAGCTTGGCATTCCCTCTCGAGAAAAAATTGAGTTGCCATCAGATGAGATCACTACGGAGGTCACAGGGTTTGTGTGTCCCTTGAGGGTGTGCTTCAGCTGGCCAGTGGCGGCATGCCACACCTTGATGGTCTTGTCTTCCGATCCAGAGGCAATCCACTTGCCATCGGGTGAGATCGCCACAGAGTTCACACTTCTTGTGTGTCCCTCGAGGGTGTGCTTCAACTGGCCAGTGGTGGCATCCCACACCTTGACGGTGTTGTCTGTGGAATCATATGATCCAGAGCCAGAGACAATCCACTTGCCATCGGGTGAGATCGCCACAGAGTGTACACCACTCTTGTGTCCTTCAAGGGTGTGTTTTAGCTGGCTCGTGGTCGCATCCCACACTTTGATAGTCCCATCAGCGTAGCCAGAGACAATCCACTTGCCATCGGGTGAGATCGCCACGGAGTTCACATAGTTTGTGTGTCCCTCGAGAGTGTGTTTCAACTGGCCTGTGGTGGCATCCCACACCTTGATGGTATTGTCACGAGAACCAGAGGCAATCCACTTGCCATCGGGTGAGATCGCCACGGAGGTCACATACCATGTGTGTCCCTCGAGGGTGTGCTTCAGCTGGCCTGTGGTGGCATCCCACACCTTGATGGTCTCGTCCTTAGAGCCAGAGACAATCCACTTGCCATCGGGTGAGATCGCCACGGATTCCACACAGCCTGCGTGTCCCTCGAGGGTGTGCTTCACCTGGCCTGTGGTGGCATCCCACACCTTGATGGTCTTGTCCCCAGAGCCAGAGACAATCCACTTGCCATCGGGTGAGATCGCCACGGAGTTCACACTATATGTGTGTCCCTCGAGGGTGTGCTTCACCTGGCCCGTGGTGGCATCCCACACTTTGACAGTGTTGTCGTCAGAGCCAGAGACAATCCACTTGCCATCGGGTGAGATCGCCACAGACCAAACACGGTGTGTGTGTCCCTTGAGGGTGTGCTTCAACTGGCCAGTCGTGGCATCCCACACCTTGATGGTCTTGTCCAGAGAGCCAGAGACAATCCACTTGCCATCGGGTGCGATCGCCACGGATTCCACCCAGCTTGTGTGTCCCTCGAGAGTGTGCTTCACCTGGCCTGTGGTGGCATCCCACACCTTGATGGTGTTGTCACTAGAGCCAGAGACAATCCACTTGCCATCGGGTGAGATCGCCAGAGAGGTCACAGAATCTGTGTGACCAGCAAGTGTCATCTCACACGGATCCCAGGTGGGTGCTGGACCAGCCGTGACCAGGAACGGGATCTTGTCCTCGAGTTGATCGGCATATGTCTTGTAGATCGCCGTCTCCTTCGGTGTGAATGCATACCCCGAGTTGTACACCTGCGGTGCACTCGCAATGATTGGATCTGCAAACTCGCGGATGAATCGATACGTGTCCTTGACCAGTTCCTTCGTGGTGTCGTCGACGATGGTGCTGGGTGCCTTGGCGACCACTCCTCGGAGCACAGACAGTTGCTCGGCAATCTCCTGAATACGATGTGTGAGCGACCCACACTCGAGCCAGAAGAACACATGCGTCTTGACGAACCGAGTGAGCACCGCTGCCACATCGACCATCTCGGTCGACTGCCACACCAGACTCGACTCGGCCACTTCGTCCACACACCACACAAAGTGTGTGATCCAGTGGGCGACGCTGTATCGCAGCGACGGTGTGATCTTGGCTGCGACCCTGTCCTCGAGGTCGGGGATATCGTCGTGGAACTCGTAGATATCGCAGATGTTGATCACTGGCTCGTGCGAGAGGATCACTCCGAGACATCCCTTGGCAAACACCGTGTGGAACGAGTCCGACACATGCCATGGATGGCCAGTCGATGCATCGCCGAGGAGATAGTCCGCCACCGACTTGTGGTTGAACTTGACCTCGGTGTTGGTGGACTGGCTGCCTCGGGGACCCAGTCCATTGGCACCAGGATCGAGGACCAGGCTGAGGCTCTTGAGACACTCGCAAACGACGCCGATCTCGAGTCCAAACACATCGGCGATGATCTGCGGGGTCAGGATCGACTGGGCCGTGGCGATCGCCGACACCACCGTGACCAGCTCGGCCGGGTGGCTCGACTGCGAGTGGATCTTGGCAAATGTCTTGTGGTACAGCTGCCCGACATCGGCGGCGCTGTCGTTGATGTCCTTGATCGTGGCGAGTGTCACTGGGCCGTCCATGGCTGCTGCATCGACGGTGTTGAGGATCAGGTTAATCCACACGAATGTCTTGGACTGGTCCAGCAAGATGGCGACTGCCTCGGTGCGGTCCGAGTCAGTGAGAGTGTCATACACTCGCAGTCGGTGGCGGATGAACACCTCGAGGTCGCGGATGTTCTCCTCGCTCGAGGGCTCGATTGTCTTGGTCGGGACTCCATCGAATGCTGCCTTGATGTCCTCTTCGGGACGGGATGTCAGCAGCAACTTGAGCCATGGACGGGTCTTGTTCAGTTCGACGAACCGCCAGGCAAGCAGACTGAGCAGCTGGTCGCGCGTAGAGCACTCGTCGAGTGCATCCACCAGGATCATCACCGATCCCTTGGGTCTGTAATTGCCGATGGCTTCGAGTGGATCGGCAATCACGGCCTTGAACAGATCAGGGATGCTCATCTTGTCGAGGTCGTCCTTGGAGTGGCCAGCATCGAGCAGCTTGCGGCCGATCGGCGAGTGCCACTTGCACAGTCCATATGCGATGGTGTTGAGCACCACTCGTGGATCGCTCTTGCGGGTGTCGTTGTACTTGAGGAACAGCGCCGACACCAGCTGGTTGGTGGCTGTGAGGATGTTGGCGATCTGGGCGGCAGCGACAGATTTGCCCACACCAGCAACGGCATTGACCCACAGGACAGTGTCGGTGGTGTCTTGGTTGACCCAGTCGGTGGTTTGGTCAAACAGCCACTGGCGAGTACCCTCGACATACAGATCCTCGAGTGCCCTTCTGTCGGAAGAGGAGTCGACAGGGTCGAGGAGGGATCGCAAGGCGTGGTCTTGTTCGGCGGTGAGGACGACACTACCGCCTTGTGTGTACACATCGCCTTGCTTGTCGGCAATGGAAGTCTTTGTTATGAGCTCACGAATATTGGGGACCAGTCTGTGGAATATCAATAGTGTGAGATTGTATCAACCGTTTCACTTGTGAATTTGATGATCTCACCTCTTGAGAGCGTTTCCATCCGCAGCATCGAGGGCCTGTAGCTTCATCAACTCAGTAAAGGTTTCACGGATCGACATTGGTTTGTTGTTGAACAACGGACTCTTCTCATGGATCGGAGTGTAGTCGGGGAGCTCTTTGATGGGCGGGAAGTACTTCTTCTGGAATGTCTCGCCATCAATCTCTCTGGTGGACCACATGAAGATGGGCTGGATGATGACAGATTGTCCACTCTTCTCACCATCCTTCATTCTCTTGAGAGCATGTTGGATCTGCATTCACAGGATAGGTGAGTTTCCAAATACAATCCAGTTATATGCATTCAGACGCACTTACCTCGAGAAACTGGTTGTCCTTGAAGTTCTGAGCGTTGTAGGTCTGCTCGAGTCCAGCCTCAGAGAGGATCAGGACAATCACGTTGGATCGATAGAGACCGTTGATGAAACCTTGTTCCCAGGGCATGCCGTCACAGAGACAGAGACTGTCGAGATAGGGATGAAGTGCCATTTGGCCTCGCGGAGTGACAGCGAGGGTTCCATGCAGAGTCGTGGCATTGCTGGCGTCACTACGGACTCGGTAACTGTGGGAACAGGCGTTAATTGGATGGAATGGAATCGCACAGTTTGGGCCGAGAAACCACGAACCTGATGAAAACATGGTGCTCTTCATAATGGCTTTGACACTCCCAATGTTGTGTGGGTACTGCCGGATAGTACTCCTCTGGCTGCAAGACTCGCTGGGGCTGTTGGATCTCGCGTTTTGTTGCGTTTGGCTTCTTCTCGTCTTTGCCTCGAGAGTTCTCATAATCCGCCTTGGCATTCTTGATCTTGTTGATTGCACCAGGCTTGAGGTCAATCCCCTTCATCTCATCCTCGGACATCCGCAGAATCTGTCTTGTAAATTGAATTAGAATATGGCCAACAACCACATCCTCAATATCAGGGGTACATACCGAGTCGATGGTGTCGTAGTCATTGTCTATGAGGAGCTGCTTGTATTTGACCAAGTGGTGTTTTTGAAGAAACTCTGCAAAGGCCAAGAGGTCCTCGTTCATCTCATTGGTGTGTAAGTTCTCACTGGTTCCGTGTGAATCACCTTGTTCTGTGGATACCATCACGTGTGAATGGATCACATGGTGAGTACACGATCACATGACAAACCGGGCGGAATAACCGTTACACCAACTTGCCCAAGCCACAGCCATCCCAACATCCCAATGCCGTTTCCCCTCGTCCAGCGACACCCCCTAGCACACAACGGTCCCCAGGTAACAACCCAAGCTCCAGTTCGAGACCTTTGTGTTTCGCATGTAGCGACCCTCACCTAGTGCGACCATGGCTTGATCGTGCGACGGCGGCGAGTCTGGTACTTCCATGGCCGCGAGGGAAAGTTCGAAAGTGCTCTTGGTGTGGCTGGTGAGACGGGGACGAAAAGGAGACAATGCGGGAGACAGACGAGCGGTCGGTTTTGTTGGATGGCCAAGCCACTTTGAAACAGAGCGATTCATTCATTTTACAGCTGCGCATGGCTCCAATCGGATGGAATGGATCATTTGAACCAATGTATAGCCTGAATGAGTCACGGGGTCCTTGTGCTTGGGCTTCACACAGGGACATCATTCACAGTCGGATTCCCCGCTTCCCGTCGATGATTGCATCCCACTCCACACCGATGTTGTGGGAACTGTCGCGCCCGTAATACACGCCCACTCCACGGCTCATGCAGAAATCCGTCGTCCTGATGCACGTCCCACTCCATGCCTGATGCACAGCTGATCCGCTCTAATACACACGACCCGAAACGTCTCCATGGTTCGTGGAGTGGTCTTGTTCGCTCTGAAACCCACCTCACTCCATGGGTCCTGGATGAGCTGGCTGAAACCCCTGGTCAGGAAAGAAATTGAAATTTTTTGAATTTTCTGTATTTTGGGGTAGCTGGCAGCGACGACAAGATCCTCACTCCATGAAATCCATTTCTAATACACAGCACCGACACAACCACACCCTCACTCGACAACATCACTCCTTGAGAACCAAGGAATGTACAAATACCACTCACTCCATACAAAATCTAATGCACAACCCCGACACACCCACTCCATGAATACCAAAATCTAATGCACAAGAGCGTACAACTCACGAATCGTGGAGAGGTAGAAATGGCCGGTGGAAACGGGTGAGGACATCCTGATGGAATGGAGTGTTTGCTGGGCGAAGCACTTTTCCTCTCCATGATCTCAGTGTGGTCATTTTTCCTCGGTGGAAACGGGTGAGAGGGTGGTGAACGATGGAGTGCCGGTCGTTCCCCGGACCTTTGGCCCAAAAAAACGCAAATGCAAATTTTTCGTTTTTTTCAAATTCACTTTTTTATTCAAAACGGTCTGAAATCTGGAATTTGTTACTGTTCTCACCCGTTTCCACCGGTCCCCTCTCCATAAAAAAAGAGGGGGCTTCCCGTCTCCACCGAGACATTTTGGCACTCGACGAGATCACTCCATACATTCATGAAATCAAAAGAACTGAATATACTTTTCCTCTCCATAACCAATGAAAAATATCACCATGGAGTGGAGCATGTGTGCCGTGGCAATGGGCAATGGAGTGGTGTCATGAAGAGGCCGGGATTCTCGGTGGAGACCGGTAGTGGCGCATACGCACTCCATGCCGGGATCCCGCCCCATGCGCTGGCGACGGCGGAGATACGGGCTGGGCTTGGACACCCTGTCGCCTGGCCACCATCGTCTCCCAGGCGCCGCTGGGCATGGGGTATATGAGGTCGCTGCTGGTGCGTCCATGCCCCATCGATCCCAACCACCTCTCCTTCATCGCCATGTCCTCCCAGGCTACCAAGCGCATCACCCGCTCGATGAGCACCCGTGCTGCCAAGCGCCAACGCCTCCATGAGCAGCTGATCTCCTTGGGAATCGAAGAGACATACCCTGTCCTCCTGGCCGTCCTCTCGATCCCCGAGCTGATCGAGATGCTCCCTGCCTGCAGTCTCGTGAAGCTCAAGGCAACTTCCAGCGACGTGAGGACTCTGCTCTCGACCAAGACTGTGGGCATTCGTATCTGGGCCGAGTGGTTCGACAAGCAACACCACACCAGACTTCTCTCTGCCGACTGCGCCCAGCTGGTCAAGTATTTCCCCGCTGGATCGATTCCCTTCAACCTCAAGTGGCTCAAGTCCATTCCGAGATCCGTGGTTTCAGCCGAGTTCGTCCGAGTCGCATCTCGTATCCGCCGAGACAACTCCGAAATCCAGATCGTACGACGACTCCTCGAGGTCAAGCACGTCCCCACTGCGATGTGGGTGGTTGAGGACAAGGTCTGGAATGATGAATGCATCAGCAAAAGCCTTTCCGTCCTGCGCAACAAATCCGAGGTGCTCGACGACTTCCTCCTCGAACATCGCAAATTTTTCCTCGGATCACCATCTGAAGAGATCAACCAGGCGTACTTTCAGTGGCTCAAGTCGTTGGACACATCCAAACTGAAGGTCAAATTCACTCTCCACGAATGCTATCGATATGGCAGAGGTACTGATTTGAACCCGACCCAGGCCTTGGATCTCCTGGTCGAATGCGCCCGCGCCGGGTATCGCAGCACTGTCCAGGAAATCTACAACATCTGCCAATACGGGTATATTCGAGATGCGCCCCATGCATCGTCCGTCTGGCATTGGTTGTCGGAATCGTCGGGACACAGTCTCCCTGAAAGGGACAGGAACCTCCTGAGGTTCTACTGCATGAAGCACGCAATTGGGTTCCCTCGATCGATAAACTGCAAGACGTTCTATCAGTACAGCCTACTCAGTGCGTACAGGGATGGTAGCATGATAGCACGCCAGCAAATCCTCAGCATTTCCTCCAGTGCATTTCATCCCTGGGATCGCCCTGAGAACTGGAATGATATCATTCCTCTGGACCACATCATCGCAGCCAGAAACGACCCCCGGGTTCAAGCCATGTTGATCGACTTGCTCAAGCGATCACTCATGGCCCAGAACGATGGTGCTGCTCTTTGGTCTCACTATGAGAGGCTCATTCGCGAGGCATGCATGCAGTGAATGGAGTGCACACACCTTCTTCCAATCCTCTTCCAACCCGCTCACAAGCGACGACGTTTCACTTCCGAGTCTCTTACGAGTTTTCAGCCCCACACCATGTTTATCGAGCGAGCTTCACTTCCGAGTCTCTTCCGAGTCCACTCCATGAATGCGAGCGTGGGCCCCAAATCCTTCCCGGCCAGGAATATCTTTTTTTTCTTGAAAATTTTTGTTTTTTCTTCTCCAATGCCCCCAACCGGCCCCCAAAAGAGCTTCTCACTCCATATTCACTTCCAAATCACTTCCGAGTGAGTTCCGCGGTGGTATTCTCTCCATGTTTTCAGTGTGAGATGATAATAATAACACACTCCATGAAAAATTCCTCTTCCGAGTCTCTTCCGACCACTCGATACGTCTCTTCCGAGTCTCTTCCGAATCTTCTGGGCCATGGGTGGTACCGAGAGCGCGGAGCGACGGGGGGACGTATACGACTGGCCTGGCATCACATGCATTGGGCGGCGGAAAGGCGAAAGAGCCTGCTGCGCATGCCAGAGGACAGGGTCCACCATATCGCACCGGGCGGAGGTTGGCCTCGGCGCGACATGTCTCCCCCCGTCGACGCCAGCAGCCCATACCCCCCTCATAAAGCCCGCTGCCACCGGGAGCGCTTCGCTCGCCCTCGCAGTCTTCCCTTCTGTCCTCTGATCTACCCTCCCAATGTTCTTCATCCCCAAGAGCACTGTCCTCGCACCCTTCCCCCCCAAGGACGGCCAGCTCAATCCTCTGGCTGTCTGGCCCAATAAGGCCCCATTCGGCGTCCCAGTTCGTAGGACGATCAATCAACAGGATCACTGGAACATCACATACGAAATGATCAACCCTTACATCAATCGCCGTGACCAAGAGAACCGCACCGGCCATCCTGTCCTCACCGGGTTTGTCTGGTGCACCGAGCACATCATCCTCGCTCGTCGCTACATCTTCTTCCTTTTGGAGTGCTTCCTCAAGTACGAGTCCACCGTGGTGCGCATATTCCCCGAATTGGTCGGGCTCAGTGGAACTATCCGCGGCTTGATCAAGAAGAACGAGGAGTATTACACCCGCGCCATTTTCCAGAAGGATATCTGCCATCATCTTGATCTCTTTGGTGACGACTCTGAGTTGATCGCCGTTTGCCATGTGTATGCCACTCTCGTCTGCCCCTTTGATGCCACCGAATGCGGCCGCATCGCCCCATTCTTCCTTCAGCACTCCATGAGTGATTATCGCATCATCACCCCCCGTGCGAGATTCAACGCATTCGAGGGCAAACGCATCTCAGCTTCTAAGGATGTCCCTATCCCCCGTATCCTGATTCATCCATCGCACCATTATCCCGTTTTCATGCCATTCTCCATGTACTTGGGTCTTGTTGTTGATTCCAACTTTACCATCATGAGAACGATGGACACTGTGGATGGTTTTTGGTTCATTCGCCCTAATCCCCAGCATGGCCTCTGGACTGCTGCACCCACGACGTTTCCCGTGGCTCTTACGATCCCAACTGCCTCAGCGGCTCCTACTGCTCCTACGGTCACGACGTTTCCCGTGGCTCTTACGATCCCAACTGCCTCTGCAGCTCCTTTGGGTTTCGCGACGGCTCGCGCGCCCCCTACGGCTCCTGCTACTCCAGCGACCCCGGCGGCTCCTAAGGCTCCTACTGACCCAGCGACTATGACAGCACATGCTCCCCCAACGGCTCCCGCTACTCCAGCGACCCCAGCGGCTCGCGCGGAGCCCCAGTCTCGCGCTTCTGTGGTTTTGATCGACCTCACCGAGTCTGATGCCGATGCCGATGCCGATGCCGATTCCGATGCCGATGCCGATGCCGATGCCGATTCCAACACCGTTTCCGAGTTCAAGGTGAAGTCCGAGGCCGATAACGACTCCGACTTCATGTTGGATTCCGATCTCAATTCCAAGTCTGACTCCGAGTTCGAATCCGATCCCTGCGAGGACAGCATCATGGACGATCTCACCGATGCTCCAGTCCAGCCGGTCGACGATGCTCCTGTCGATGCTCCAGTCCAGCCGGTCCACGATGCTCCTGTCGAGGAGCATCTCCCTGGCATCGGGCTCCCATCCGAGGTCGGTAGCACTGTCATTTACAGTGGATCCGAACAGGAAAGTTTTGCATCCGCCGATGAGAACCAGTTCGAGCTCGACGAAGACACGATCGTTGTCGACCAAGGCGAACTTGAAATGGAGGACGTTGCTGTTGCCGCTGGTGAGTATGCTGGATTTGTGCCCATCCACCGGGGATCCGCTATTGCCCATTGCGTTTTGACGGCGATTGACTCACACCACCCCGCATATCACACAGAACCCACAGTTACCCCGACCGCTGTGTCGAGCAAGGATGCCACCGTCTCCTTGAAGAGAAAGCGCGACGTCCAAGATCGGGCCGAAGACGATCCCGACATCAACTCCCTTCTGGTCTCGGCCATCCCATTGGAGGAGAAGAATTCACTCTTCCAGCAATTCTTGCAGGGCCAGCAGAAGTTGCGTGCGATCGACAAGCTGGAGTCTTGTGTTCAGGCTGGCCTCCGCGATCCTGAGGCTATCCGGGCTATGACTCGAGGTTTCATAGATATCATGAATGCGCCTATCGCGGAAACCAAGCCCAAGCCCAAGTCTAAGCCTGCTGCTCCTGTGATCGAGGAGCTTCCCGACGAACGCTGGTCCTTCCAGAAGCTCGATGTGGCCGCCCTCAAGGCTGCCTTTGCCGAGCCTGTCGATCCCAACCCCGCCAACTTCAAGACGGTTCACCAGCTCATCGACGCCGATGCTGTGCTCACCGAGGCAATCAAGTCAGTCCCTGGAATATCTTCTGCAGAACTACTGTATGCTGCAGATGAAATTGTGTTCGGCTGGTTCCGTGAGTGGAAATCCACTCAGTCGATGCCAGACTCCTGGATGACGACTGACCTTGTCTCGATGGAAAGCCTTCCCCGAGCCTATATTGCTCATTGCCACTCATTCATTTTGGTTATCCTTCATCTGTTCCTTTTTAAGAAAGGACTCGTCATGATGTGGGGTGCTTTATTGTCTCAGTATCGCGAGAGACTTACGATCTAGCTAGCGAGCATCGAAGTTGCGTCACTGCAGGCGCATACAGTCGACCCAATACACTATATTCAGAAAAAACGGGACACCACAGCCGTCTCCATGAACATGTAGTATGTGATGGCATGCGTCAAGCAAAGCCACAAGAAATACATCAAATCACCTCGGCAGCCTCCGAGTGAAGACCACCGGTCGCTCTCCGGTCTCCACAATCGACCTGCACACTGGTCTCGGAGTGCCAGCGATGGATGGTACTCTTGGACACGCTGAATATGGAGGCAACCTTGCGCAGGCTATGAGTGACAGCACCGCATCACAGAATGGTCATAGCCAGCGCGCGATAGCATTGGGTAACAAAATATTTGTTCATTGGTGGCGATGGGGGCGGTGCCAGTCATGTGCGTGGCAGTGCAAGGCAATGACCAGAAATCCATTGGTCCTCAGGATCGAGCCAGCTAGTGGCTGGTATGCTACAGCTGCGCATCAATTGGAGCCACCCAGGTTCCAGGCTATCGATCGGTATGGTTTGCCCGGCACACAGACTATCGATCGGTACGGTTTGCCCGTGTCATGAACACCCTCTGCCTTTGCCCTCTTCCTTCCTTTACCCTTGCCCTTTCCTTTCTGTTTGCCTGTCTTAGTGCTTTCCCTTCCTTCTGTTTGTTTGTTTCCCGCGCTGTGCTGCCTTGTTGTCTTACCGCCAGCACGCGCGCTGTCTGTGTTCCGTTCCCGCTTCCTTGCTGTTGGTCATGGGTTACGCCCACGACGCCGCCTCGACGCCGCCTGACGCCTTGGCGCCGCCATGCCGCCGCCACTGACGCCCGCTGACTCACGGATCCCGAGTCACGGTCGCCACCTGCTTCGCTCGCTGCTTCGCCCTCCCCGCCGCTGCTTCGCTCCTACCCCCTCGCTCTCCAGCGTCGATCCTTGGCGCTCGCATAAATAGCCCTCCGACCAGCCTCTGTCTTTTGCCTTCGTCTTGCCACTTTGTATTTTTAGTATCCTAAGCCTTGGATCTAGAATAAAACTTTGGCTTTACACTTGACACTCTGTGTCCCAGTCCAGTCCCCGCTCCTCTCCCTACGTTCGAGTCTTGTATTAGGACTCTTGCGCACTTCCCTGCTTGCCCCGTTGTCCAGTCTTGACACTTGGCAAGACCTTCAACAACCCCCCACTTGCCCTGCCTTTGCCCCCGTTCCCTTCTCTATCTCTTTTACCAATGGCTTCCCCTTCTGGCCTTTCCGAGCCCGAGCTCCAGGCCATCCGTGCGGTCATTATCCAGTCCGCCGAGAACGCCCGTTCTCTCCAGGACTTCTCCAAGTTCCTCCACGATCAGGATGATGCGCTCAACCGCATCACCGATCGTATGGACCAGGTCCTGGCTCGCCGTGAAGAGGATGTCCGCCAAGTTGTCGCCGCCAGTGTCCAGGAGGCCCTCCGCAGCTACCAGGCCCAGCTACCTCCTCCTGCTCCCGCTCCCGCCCCGATCCGTCGTGCAGGTCGCCCCTACTTCGGCGTACCTGACGACGTCGATGATCCTGCCCAAGACCCCGAGGACAACCCTGCTGGTCGCAACTCTGCCACCAGGCAGATAGGTCCTCCCGACCGCTTCTCTGGTAAGGACCCGAGCCGCTGCAATGCCTTCCTCTCGCATTGCAGACTGGCCTTCGTGTCCAACCCTCCCCTCTTCCAGACTGAAAGGGATAAGGTGTTTTACGCCTTATCCTATCTCGATGGTACTGCTGCAGACTACATGCAGCCGTACATCGATCAGTTGGAGAGAGACCCCGAGTGCTCTCCCCCTGCCATCCGTGACTTTGCCGGTTTCTCCGAGTGGCTCCGTGCTGCCTTTGGCCAGGTCCAGCCCACCATCGCCGCTGCTCGCGAGATGGTCAGGCTTTACCAAGTCACCTCCGCCGCCGCCTATGCCGCCGAGTACCGCCGCCAAGCCGTCCACCTCGTCACTTGGTCCCAAGACCCTCTCATGTTCCACTTCGAGAGTGGACTCAAGCCCTCGGTTCAAGATGAACTCTCCCGCCGCTCCTTCGACAACCTCGAAGATCTCATGCAAGCGGCGATCGCCATCGACAACCGCCAGGAGGACCAACGCTCCCGCCGTCCCAACCACCGCTCCGCTCCTGCTCCTGCTCCTGCTCGTCCGGCTCCTCTCCCTTTCCGTCCGGCTCCTCGTCCCTTCGCTCCTGCTCCTCCTCCTCGCCCCGCTCAAGCCTTCAACGTTCCCCAGCCCATGGACCTCAGTCAGGCTTCCGCTCGCAGGCTGACCGCCGAGGACAAGGCCGCCCTCCGTGCTGCCAACCGCTGCTTTTATTGCAAGCAGGAAGGGCACATTGCCCTTCGCTGCCCCAATAAGACCTCCTCCCGCTTGGCTGCCATCGATGCTTCTTTGGCTGTCGTTGATGTGAATAAACTTGACGACCAGGAAAACTTCTCTGCCTAGAAAAGGTCGGAGGAGCTTTCCTAGGCGTCAATCATGTCATAAATCTTCCTCCTGTAAATGTCTCCACGGTAAATCACTCTTCTGCCTTTTGCCATCTTGCCCCCGTCACCATTGCCACCGCTTCCACCGCTCTTGCTTCTTCGTCTTCGCCTCCCGAGCCTGACATCCAACGTCAGCCATCCCTCGCTGTGACTCTGCTGTGCGGTCCAGAGTCCATACGGGCAACCGCCATGATCGATACCGGCGCGGTTACTTCGTTTATGGACACTGGATTCGCCGCAACCCACGCTCTCCCCACCTTTGAAACTTCTTTCGTCATCACTCTTGCCGATGGTTCTTCGATGGAGTCTAGTCTTGGAGTTTGTGTTTCTATGATCACAGGCATCAGCCACTATGAACAAATCTCGTTCGCGCTGATTCCCTTGGCTTCATACCCGATCATCTTGGGTATGGATTGGATCAAGAAACACAAACCCTACTTTGACTGGCACCATGACTCTATTTTCTTGCCTTGCACCTCTATCCACAGTTTGGCCTCCCCGTTCTCTCCCGAGCCACAGTCCTCTAGGTCCAGCCCTGCCGAGCCGCCTGCCGAGTCTCCTGCTGAGGTCCCCGCCGAGCCTGCCGTGTCCCTGCCCGCGTCCAAGATTGTTCCTGCCAAGTCCCCAGCCGAGTCCCCAGCCGAGCCCGAGATCCTCCCTGCCTTGCCTCCTGCCGTGCCCAAGCCCAGTCCTGCCTTGCCTCCTGCCGTCCCAAAGACCAAGACCAAGACCCAGTCCCTGCCCAGCGTCAGCCTGATCGGCAGCATCCCCTTCCAGCACGCCGTCCAGAAGGAAGGCCTGGAAGTGTTCCTCTTGGATGCTGCCCGAGTCCTGTCCCTCTGCTCCGTCGACGCTGGAGCCAAGCCCAAGGCCGAGCCCTCTGTCCCCTCCAAGTACTCGTCCTTTGCCAAGGTGTTTTCCAAGTCCGAGGCCGACAAGCTCCCCCAGCACCGCCCTTACGACCACACGATCCCGTTGGTCGAAGGTGCGTCGCCGACGTTTGGGCCCGTCTACAACCTCTCCAAGCCGGAGATGGACGCCCTCCACACCTACATCCAAGAGAACTTGTCCAAGGGTTTCATCCGCCGTTCCGAGTCCCCTGCCGGTGCCCCAGTCCTGTTCGTCAAGAAGAAGGATGGCTCCCTCCGTCTCTGCGTCGACTACCGGGCCCTGAACAAGATCACCGTGCCGAACCGTTGTCCCTTGCCCCTGATTGCCGAGACGTTCGACAACCTCGGTAAGGCCAAGATCTTCACCAAGCTCGACATGCGAGGCGCATACAACCTTTTGCGCATCGCTGAAGGTGAAGAATGGAAGACGGCTTTCCGCTGCCGCTACGGCCACTTCGAGTACAACGTCATGCCGTTCGGCTTGACCAACGCTCCTGCCTCGTTCCAAGCCTTCGTCAACGATGTCCTCCGTGAATACCTTGACCAGTTCGTGGTCGTCTACCTGGACGACATCCTCATCTACTCCTCCGATCCTGCCGAGCACGAGGCTCATGTCAAGAAAGTCCTGACCAAGCTCCAAGACGCCGGACTCTCACTCAAGCTTGAAAAGTGTGAGTTCGACCAGTCCTCCGTCGCCTTCCTCGGGTTCATCATCTCGCCCGATGGAATCTCCATGGATCCCGACAAGGTCAAGGCCATCCAGGAGTGGGAGATCCCCCGATCTGCCCACGACATCCAAGTCTTCCTCGGCCTGGCGAACTTCTACCGTCGGTTCGTCAAGGACTACTCCAAGATCGCCACCCCGCTGACGGACCTCCTGAAAAAGGACATCAAGTTCTCCTGGTCTCCCTCGGCTCAAACGTCATTCCTGAAGCTTAAGGAATGCCTGAGCACCGGTCCTGTCCTCCGCCATTTCGACCCCGAGCGTCAGTGCGTCATCGAAGCCGACGCATCTGACTATGCTCTTGGCGCTGTTCTCAGTCAGCGCGACGACGAAGGCCTCCTGCACCCCGTGGCTTTCTACTCCCGGAAGCTGCTCGATGCGGAAATGAATTATCAAATCTATGATAAGGAACTTCTCGCCATCGTCGCAGCCTTCAAGCAATGGAGACACTACCTCGAGTTCTCTTCCCAAGCCACCGAGGTCGTCACCGACCACAAGAACCTCGAATACTTCCAGACCTCCCGCAACCTCAGCCGTCGCCAAGTCCGTTGGTCCGAGATCCTTGGCGATTACAACTTCGTCATCAGGTATCGACCCGGAACCCTCAACAATGCCGCCGACGCCCTCTCCCGCAAGGACAAGTTCCCTAAGGAGGGGGGTGACTCCCGTAGCTCCCCGAACACCCAGACCCTGCTGCCACCAAAACTCTTCGTTTCCGCCCTCCGAGCCGTTCCCGTTGCCCCCGAGTCTGAGGATATCGCCGTCCTCATCAAGTCAAGCCTCAAGAAGGACTCTACCTTTGGTCCGATCCTGTCCCAAGTCCTCAAGAACCCTGCCTCCTGTCCCGGCTACTCCGTCGACAACGACCTTCTGCTCTTTGAAGGTCTCGTCTGCGTCCCCGATGTCCCCGAGCTCAAGCGCAAGATCCTCGTCGAGTGCCACGACTCGCCGACCGCCGGCCACTTCGGCGTCGCCAAGACCTTCGAGCTCGTCTCCCGGACCTTCCACTGGCCGA